CGGGCACCCTGACAACGGGCTCACTCTGCAGCCAGTAGCGCCCTCTCTTGCTTCCACCAAGAGTGCTGCTAGATGCCCTCTGGTTGAAAGTGCTTGATGTCACAGCCTCAGAGCTGGGCTTTCACCACTCAAGACACGCATGGCCTTGACGCTTTGGTGTATCAAAGCTACCCTGCCCTTCAGAGCCCTCCTACCGTCACAGAGCTGTGAGGTCTGTGGGCAGAATGTCACACTCTTGGATCTCCACTCTGACTTCAGGCCACCCAGACTGTCCCTCTGACTAGCTTGTCTCTCCAGATGCCTTCAGAGACTTGAGTGAAGATAGATCTTTCCCTTTTAACTCTGACCCATCTTCTTCTTCTCAGGTCTTTAAACAGGTGCCCCTATCCTGGGCTGGCGATCTGATGAAACAGTAGGTGCGGCATGAACTCCGATTCCTCCCCTCTCTCGATAGGGGTCTGGGATAGAAGAGAGAAGTAGTTTTCATGGACCACATCTTTGACTTGTCCGAGGGCATGTCTTCTTTTTTGAGTTAGAAGATCCAGTTCATAATCAGGCATGGTGCCGCATGCCCGTTGTGTTGGCTGTTTTTATGTCAGCGAGGCTCAAACTAGAGTCACCTGAGGGAGGGAACCTCAGCTGAGAAATCCCCTTCAGAACAATAAGCTGTAGGCAAGACTGTAGGGCATTTTCTTAATTGGTGATTAAAGGAGGAGGGCCCACCGTATTGTGGGTGGGGTTACGCCTGGGCTGGTGGTCCTGGGTTCTCCAAGAATGTAGGCTGAATAGTGATGAGGAGCAAGCCAGTAAGCAGCACCCTCCGTGGCCTCTGCATCCAGGTCCCTGCCGTGTTTAAGTTCCTGTCCTAACTTCCTTTGATGATGAACAATGATGTAGAAGTATAAATGAAATAAACCCTTTCCTCTCCAAGTTGCTTTTGGTCACAGTGTTTCATCACAGGACAAAACAAACAAACAAACAAACAATAAAACTAAGAAACCTATAATTCCAGCACTTGGGGGAAAAAAAAAGGTGAGTGGATCATAAGTTCAAGGTCACCTTTGCTATACATCAAGTTTGAGGTCAGCCTGAGATACATGAGATCCTGTCTCCAAAAAAAAAATCATAGCTGACTTCTTCCCTAGGGCATAAGAGCACTGTGAAAGAAGTTTCCATACCTGCTGGGTTTTTGTGACACTCACAGAGAGGGCTTTGGATTGTCTTTCCCTCTTCCCATCAACTGGCTTTTGAAACAATCTATTGCACCCAGACGTCATTGCAATAACTGAAGTGATATGGAGTTATGAAAGCAAACCCAGAAGTCTGCAGGAGCAGGAGACCTCCAAGGAAGCTCTTGTTTCCTCCTGAAACACAGCAGGGACCCCCTCTTCTTACCTCCTAACTGGAGATACAGCTACAAGGAAACCTGAGATGAACAGCCTGAAGGCAAAAGGCCAATATGCTAATGATGGCACAGCAGACAGAGAAAGAGCCAGTGTCACTGAAGTCACCTCAGAGGAGGGAGTCAGCTGCAACCCTGGTTATCTTCAGGTATGTCTTTAAAAATATTTACTATTTAAGATATTTATATATGATCTCTGAAACAGGGCCTTTGGCCATGTATCCCAGGCTGGCCTCCAACTCACAGAGATTGGCTTGCTTCTGCCTCCTGATTGCTGGGACCCAAGTTGTGTGCCTCCACTGCCCAGCTGGTACTTGTATATTTTAAGCTAGTCGTCCTTCAGGTGGACGTTGTGAAGCAGAAACAACTCAACAGTGCATAGCAGTTACCAACAATGCTAACTGTTGTTTTTTAAAAAGTAAAATTCCAATTGTTCTGTTTTACCAATAAAGACTCAGATACCAATAAAGGGGCCAGATGCTGGGGTGAAAACCTACTAGGTCAGAGAGGCAGAGAAAGCACACACCTGACCTTCTTACTCAGCTGATGTCCCAGAAAGAAAAAGGAAAAAGCCCAAAGCCTCAAGCCCCTTCTTCACACTATCTTAAATACCCTTCAACTCAATGCCCCTCCTTTTTTTTTTCTCCCTGTCAATTGGTTTATTGCTCCTCCTCTTGACCTAGAGTTAACTTTATTTAATCCTGTGTACAGAAAGCTCTAGAGTTAAAGGTGTGTGCTAAGGCTGAGTCACACCATAATCACCTATTTACAGTAAATAGAAGGTTCTTGGATTAAAGGTGTGTGCTAGGGCTGAGCTACACCAAACAAGAAACAGGTTTTTATAGTTCACAATGGGATCAAATACCCTGCAAAGTTAACCTCAAGACTCACTCCTGTAATCAGAAACTCTAAAGGTGGAGAACAAGAGGCTGGAGTTTAAGGAGCCTGCCAGGCGGCCCTCACACAGAAATTCAAGACCCGGCTTTAAACCAATAGCTGTAGTCTGCGTGTTGAAGTTCCCCCAGAGATCCACATGTGAAAGATGGGTTCCCTGTGGTGGGGCTTTTGAGATGTGGTGGACCTTAAGAAAGATCCCTGTGGGAGGTTTTCAGGTCACTGGGAAGAATACTCTCTCTTTCACCCCCTCCCTCTGTCTCTCTCTCGGCTTCTCCCCTCTTCCCATGCTGTGGTGCTTGTGTACTTCCTAGCTATGAGGTGTACTCCATGCTTCTCAAGGCTCACGGCAACAAGTCCACTTGATCTTGGACTAGAACCTCCAAAACCATGAGCCAAAAGAACCCCCCCCCCCCCAGATCTTTGATACACAGAGGCATTGTGGGTAGACTTTGTTAGAACCTGGCTCAGTGGATGTGCCAAAATCGTGGTTATGTTGAGATTGGACCTTTCAGTTCCGAGGTGCGTGTTCTCCATTCGGCCAGGGCTTCGGGCAGATGAAGGTTCACATGGAAGCGCCTCTTCGGAGAATTGCCTTAGCTGCCATGAATGATCTTGCCCAAGATCATGTCCTGGCTTACAATGACGACCTGGTCAATAATAATAAATGTTGACTTCAAGAGATTGTGCTGTAATTGTTAAGATTTCTAACAGTGGAGCGTTCAGGTGTTAAGAGTGTTTACCCAGCATGTACTGGGTTCCATTCTGAGTGTTTGAATGAAACCAGAGTAGATCAACTGGAAGGGTGCTTGAGAGTTTCAAGGGAAATTATATTTCTGTAATGCCTTGGGAACTGGATGGCTTCTTCCTCTGGCTTTCCTTTAAATTTATGTTTAAATTTTACTTATATATATATGTGTGTGTGTGTGCATGAGAGTGCACTCACTCCCACTGTCTGCCCCTCCCACTGCTGTTACCCCAGGGTGAAGGGCGGCTGCCCTGGGCATGTTCAAGCAGGCAGCTGGCCCTCCTCTCAGAGTCCATCAGGGTGGAAGTGAGGAGTGAGAATGATCCTAATCTTAATGTTTACTCCGCTGTATAAAAGGAGAATCTGTTTTGACATACGTGTAATTTAAAACATCACTAGGAAAAACAAAGCACTAATGTCCACTTTACACTACATTTTAGCTTTCATCACTCAAGCATCTTCTTTTTATCGGCCTTGAGTGGAATGCGCCCCTCTAGCTCAGCTTGCATACTGTCTCAGATGCACATCTAAGATCCGGGTGGAGGCTGCAGGATATTCTTCATGATACTTTGTCACCAACTCTCTGTCCTGAGGTGCTTGAGGTGTTTTTCCCCCAGGGGCAGCTGCTCCTCCTCCTCTGGTTGCTTTGACTCAGGCTGGCCTCAAAATTACCAACCTCTTGTCTCAGCCTCCCAAGTGTTGGGACTATATCAGGCCACCGCACACAACTGTTTTTTTGTTTTTTGTTTTTTTTTTTTTACTTCTTCTTCCTTCTTTCCATCCTCACGGATGACAAGGTAGCTAGCTCCTTCTGGTCCTCTCCTGGTTTCACCCCACAAACAGCTTCTGAGTACAGTTAACACTTGGAGCAGTACCCGCCTTCCCCAGTGACTGGTTCCTCACACCGATCTAATCACCACGTTGGTGATCAGTGATCTTTCTGACTCAAGTTACAAAGCACCATTTTGCCAGAAACATCTCAAAATTAAAAAAAAAAATGGCTCAGCATCACTGGCAGAGTAAATGCTATCTATAAACCAAAATCCAACATTTACGCTCCAAACAGAATTTCAAAATGAAATTGTGGAGTATATTTTTAAAAATCACAATTCACTGAAAAGAGAGCAAAGGGGACAAGTTGAGGTTTGGATTTGATAAAAGGGAGAACATTAAAAAATATAGATCATCTGTTGGACAGGTTATTGGAGATTGCCTTCCTGGAAAAAAAATCTTTAAAAATACAATCTGCAGGGCTGGGGCCGTAGCTTGGCAGCAGGGAGCTGTATGGGCAAGGACCTGATCTGATCCCCAGTGCTGGGGGCAAATGGACAGAATAGACGGTCGTTCATCTTGACTGATTTGGCCACAGAACCACCTTGGAAGCAATACCTGAAGTCAGTACATTTTTGAGGCCCCCTCTGCTGACCCTTGCCTCTCCCCGCTGTCTGTATCTCAGGGCATCGGGGCACGGCAGGGGAGTGGACACCAGGGGAGGAGGTTGAACAGTGCTGGTGGCGTGTGGGGCTATTTTGGCACGGGATGGAGAAGAAATGACGCAGCGCTCCGTCAGTCCACCAACTGAGCAGTCAATGGAAGCAGGTGGCATAATACAATCCTTCGGTTCTTCCTGGAATCTTGATGAATCAGTCAGCTGGTTCTTGAAAAAGCTAATGTAGTTACCCCACCCCCAAGGAGACGCAGTAAAGCTGCGATTCCAATCTGAAGATGATTCTGATCACAGCACAGCAAAGATGTCTCTTTCTCCTCCCTCCTTCAGCACGTCCAGCTAGTATTCAAAGCCTAAAACACACAGCAGTTTCAAAAAGTGCAACCGTCGGAACTCTGTGGGAGGCACACGCTGGCACAAATGTCACGATGTGCACCAGCGCTGTAGACACGGACCTGGCTCCACTTCTCCCCAGTCTGATTTCTTAAAAATACATATATTTATTTCCGCGCTTGCTTTGGCAGCACTCCACTAAAGTTGGAACAATACAGAGAAGATTAGCACGGCCCTGCACAGGGATGACAGGCAAATTCGTCAAGCGTTCTATGCTCTCATATATGCGTGTAGCGATAATCAATGAGAAAAAAAGAAGCTATGGATTTAAAAGAGAGTGAGGAGGGGCATATCGGAGGGTGTGGATGGAAGAAAGGGAGGGGAGAAATGATGGAGTGATGGAGGATTATAATCTTAAAGCATAAAAGATTTTTAAAAAAATACTTTATAGAGTGTGTGTGTGTATGTGTGTGTGTGTGTGTGTGTGTGTGTGTGTGTGTGTGTGTGTGAGCATGTGTGGGGGCAGGCCAGAAGGGGGCACTGGATCTCTTGGAGCTAGAGTTAAGGAGTCTTTGAGCCTCATGGTGTGGGTGTCAGTAGCACTCTTAACTGCTGAGCCATCTTTCCAGCCTCTCTATTTCTTCCTTTGAAACAATTTTTTAAAATTTCTCTCTCTCCCCCCCCACCTTTGTGTGTGTTTATGTGTTTTATGTGATTGTGTGCTCATTCACTTATGAGTGTGGACATGTGTGCCGCAGCACGCTTGTGGCCCTCAGGGACAACCTGGGATGGCGGTCCTCGGTTTCCCCCTCGTTTGAAACAGGGTCTCTTTGCTGTTGTTCTGCTGCACAGGCCAAGCTACCTGCCTCTCAGATTTCCGGGGTTTCTCTGGTCTCCACATCCCATGGAGCTGGAGGAGCCCTAGGATTTCGGACACTTGGGGCTACGGTGCCTGGCTTCCCTGTTTGTCCTACAAATCACGGTGAGGTCTTACACTTTCACAAGCAGCATGCTTATATGCTGAGCCATCTCCCCAACCCTCGGTTTCCTTTTTTGCAAGTCAGCTAATCTCTTTAGGGTTCCCACTGCTCTTATCCTCTGATGCCTGGGGACTGAGGCATCAGGGTGGGGCAGGCAGTGCCCCAGCCTTGTTCACTGGTCCCATTGGTGTCTTCCCAATGTCCCTTTCCCATCTGACTCCTCAGCCTTTGTCCAGATAGCGTTGTCTGACTGGGAAGCTTCCTGCCACGGTCTATTTCCAGTTTAATGCTCTGTTCTTCCTGGGCCGTGTAAAACGAGGTGGAGCATCCAAGTCCCTTCTCTGGGCCAGCTTTACTCTCTGGTATTTGGGAACCCTTTTATTTCTCTGTATAACACAACCAGCCCAAGAGGAGTTTTCAAGGCTACTTTTGTCCTACCTGCTGTTCTCACAACCTAGGTATGTCTGGGTGAGGAGAAGTATGGGTCCTTGAACCCCTGTGGCCACTCTCTGGGTCTGCTCTTAGATTCTTCAGACTTTTGATGACTACTGCCTCAGCCCTCTTTGCTGCTGACCCTTCAGCCCTCCGATCCAAGCACACATTATCCTGTCTCAGGAGGCACACAGATCTTGCAAACTGTTCAGGCTCTGAGAGCCCCAGTGTTTGGATTTCTTGTAACACCCCCCCCCCAAAAAAAAGCACCTTTCTCTGCTATAGTAGCCATTTCCCAGGTACTGAGTGCTCATTGAGAGTATGAGTCTTCATGGAGGTACAGAGGATGTATCAGGAATGGCGAGCATACTCAGAACCTAGCACCATAATGTTGATGCCAGAGAAATCCAGTCGAGAGCCAATGAGTACAGGAAAGCATCCACATCGGGGGAGAGGCCGGATCTTCTCGTTCTAGGGCACAGGAAGCCAGCCTCTTCCCCAGGGTCAGCACAATTTTTCTTTCTTTCTTTTCTTTTCTTTTTTCTTTTTTCTTTTCTTTTCTTTTTTTTTTTTTTTTTTTTTTGAGGCAGGGTCTCACTACATAGCTCTGGCTGTCCTGGAACTCACTAGAAATCAGGCTGCACTCTTTAACATGAATAGCTTTTCTTTTTCTAAGGAACTTGAAGCAAAGATGATAGAGCAAATGATGCTACCGTAAGAATATATACATTTTCACACTGAGGGCAGCCCCTGTTCATGAAGATGAAAGCCCCTAGGTCGCATTTAGCACAGCTCATATACTTTATGCCAAAAATCCTGAATTCTTAGCTGGGCATGGTGGATGGAGCACATCTTTAATCCCCGCACTCAGGAGGCAGAGGCAGTCAAGATCTCTGTAAGTTCAAGGCCAGGCTGGACTACACAGTGAGTTCAGAATAGCCAGGCTATGCAGAGAGACCCAATTTCACCCCATTCCCCACCACCACTGTCAACAAACAAACAAATATACAAAAAGTGAGTTCTAACCTTAATTTTGGTTCTTATTCTAAGTCCACATTCTATTTCTACAAAAATTTATTTTTCACTACAGCTAAATGGAAGACCTTATTTACAGGTTATTCTGAATAAATTAATTAGCATTTTTTTTTTTTTTTGAGCATCAAAGTGCCAAGAGATCTATCCCATATACCAGTTTAAAATTATAACCTTAAACACTTGCTGTCTCAGAGACTGCCCGGTTCTCCCGTTGTTTTTAATTTTGTATATGATACACAGCGACCATTTTCTTTCCAGTTCTACTTTGTTCTGGGCTCTCAGACACGTCACTTCCCTCCAGGGTCCATCAACTTGGGGATCATCCCCGCGAGCCCTCCCTGGGGCTCAGGAGAGCCGCTTCTAGGCCCTGAGCGGGTGAGGCATGGCTTCCCACATATCCTCAGATTGGAAAACTGGGAAGAAGACGCAGAAATAAATGACTCCCCCCCCCTACCTTGGAAAGTAGCTCTATCAACAGATTGTGTTAGCACTTGGAGTCACTGCTTTAACTACTAAAATTGATTAAATTAGCAGTTCTGTGTTTTGCCAAGATTTTTTTATAGGCTCTTTCCTTCGTTCTCAACAAATTAAAACCTGGCTTGCAGGGGCGTGTAGTAGACCGGAGACGGTTCTCCTCCTGTCGCTGGGTGCTGATGTAGCAAGCTTTTGACAGTTTCTAAAAAGAAAGATTTAATTCTTGATTACCACTCCTCCTGTGTCTTATACCAGGACTGCAGGATGGGTGTGTGGGAGGAAAAGTGATATAACATGGAAGAGTTTAATAAATATTTGTAATATGGAGTCTCTAAATCATTGCCTCGGGGAAGCCTCGTACAGGAAATGGAGTGGTTTCATCCTGAAGGCAGAGCTAGATGTCTGCAATGTGCTAATGAACTAAATAAACATATTTTATAAGTATCAAAACTAGTGCAAACTGGTTTACATTTTGCAAAAAAAAAAAAAATTAAAACTTTAAAATTTATTTATCTATTGTGTTGCGTGTGTGCGTGAGTGCGCATGCGCACGATGCGTGTCCCACAGCATGTGTGTGGCGATAACGCCTCCCCTTCTGTTGTGGGTCCTGGGCATTGGTCTCAGGTTATCAGTGTTGGTGACAAGCACCTTTATTGATAAAGCCATCTCACCAACCCCCAAAACTTTTTTTTTTTTTTTTTTTGAGACAGAATCTCGCTGTGTCTCCCCGCTGGCCTTGACTCTGAAGCAGCCCTCCCTCCCGCCTTTGCATCTTGAGTGTGGGGAGGAGAGGTCTGCAACCACCGTACCCGGCCCCCCAAACATTTCAAATTCAAGAATATTTTCCTTTCCACGAAGTTTAACTGCAAGCAGTCATACTCACTGTTCCAAATCTAAAAGCAAATTCTCACCCTAAAATCTAGGGAAAATGTAATATTCAACTTACTAAGTCACAAGAAAGCAGCAGACTGAGGAGTTTCATCAGAATACCACAATCCCAACTTCCAGTTCCAAAGACAGGCGTATTTTTACTAAACCCTGAACCCACATCAGCTTCCAAAGTGCGCGTTTCTTCCTTGTGTTATAATTAGAAGTGAAAATAGGACACAACCATATATATTCACTATATGTATATTTTTAGAATGATCCCAGTGCTGTTAAAACTGTATAAATAAAAGCCCCAAAGGAGATGCAGTGAAATATCTTTTTGGATGATGTCTATAAATATGATCTTTAAAACATCTTATTTTTGACAGTTTAAGTTTTTTGTTTTTGTAATGAATGCCCAATTCTTTTAATTAAGGAAATGACTTGAAGAGGAGGTCTTTACTGGCCGTGTGTTTGTTAAGCACCATGTCATCTTAATGCTGATGGTAATTGTTTAGAAGGTGGCATGAGCAAGAATGAGCTATTGGCCATTCAATGCACTCCACATGGTGTGCTCAGGAAGCCGGTATCAGAGCGAGGATCAAACACTCTTTGGTCTTCAAAGGAGTCCAGACCCCGAAAAGTCATAATTTCTGTCGAGCTCTCCTCTCTCTGTGACGAGATTGCTTTGCCTTTGAGCTGCCCACTGCAAAGAGCCGGGTGCCGAACTGCTCAGATCTTCTGAGGCTGACAACCGCTTCCTCCACGGAGCGTTTTATAGAACGATTTCAATACAAGACCGTCGTGATGTAAAGTGGGAGGGAAATACAAGGTGTTAAAATAAGGTAGAAGAATCTGGTTAAAAGGCCGTGGAGCTGCCTCTTGATTGCTGAGGTCTCTGCAAGGTTTTATCTATAGACCGGGTGAATCCTGCTGATGAGGAAGGCGATGGAAATCAGAGCAACCGGGATCAAAAGAACCAGCTTTTTGGCTGAATGCAACAGTCACAATTTCCTTGAGTACTTACAGGCACATCCCAAATCAGCTCTCCTCCATCTACTTTTAATGCAGCTGTTGGTGTTGGTCTAGTCAAAAGTTTGTCCAAGAGTCTCTTAAAAAAACAGTATGAATTTGCCTGATTTACCTTCATATTAGCTTTAAAAAGAAAACTGTCAGGCGTGAAATTATGAGTCCTGGAGACCACTGCCAAGACAAACGGAGTCAGGAATTGGTTACTTTAAAGTATATCTTTGTGTGTTCATTAAGGACTCAAGCTTCATTCTGTTGCAATTCTGCACCCTCAGACTATCACAGCCAGTTGTGATGCCTGCAATCCTAGTGCAGGCAAAGGCAAGGCTGCTGTGAGTTTGAGGCCAGTCTGGGAAATATAACAAAACCCCCATCTCCAAAGAGGGAGAAGAAAGAGGGAGGAGGAGAGGGATGGGGAGGAGGAGGGGGAGGGGAAGAGAAGGGGGAAGGGAAAGAACAGGGA